ATATGATATTAACAATTTTATTTATATCTCTATTATTGGAAGATGTTATATCATTCATTCCATGGTCATAATTTTGCAACCTGTATTCCTTTAACTTTTATTCGTTTTGTGTATGTTGTGATTTTTTAGTTTGTACCATTTTTTTATTCCTTGTTTTTTTTTCATTAGGTTAGTTTTCATGGTCCATTCATTGTTTCCTCTCCTTTGCATTCCAATTTATATTCATTTATATTAGACACCTTTTGGTCCCCCCTTTCTCCTTTAAGTTTTTCACCATGTGTTTCCCGTTCTGTTCTACACCTCCCCCTGCATAATATAAGGTTCCTGTGTGTCAGTGTTCCCCCTATGCTTGAGAAAGGAGCGTGCCAGTTATTGGATCCTACACATGCTCAGAAACGCGTCATATGCTTATGACGTCACACGCCATCGCCGCTGCTCCGGAGTTCACAGAGACTTGCACATCAGGCTTTACATCTACACCTCTCCAGCGCTCTCTGCTGTCCAGCTGGCAATCTTGCTCATTGTTTCCTGAACCCAGCTATGAGGCGCTGTGCACTTTTAACCCTTTATGAGCCTACTTACCACCATTTATATGTGAGTTGTTAAACTTATGTTTTACCATTAAAATGTCTTACAGTCTACACTTAGAGGCGCTGTGTTTCTCTTTTTGTCTCAGTAAACTCATACTGAAGACAATGAACATTATAGAAGAAGAATAAGCACTTCCACTAATAGTCTGCAGCTCCAGAGGACTGATTTACTAACACTGATCAAAATATTCTCTTTCTCTTTCTTTACAGAGCGATTTCTACATGTAGCTCTATCTCAGGACAGCTTTCTGAATCCCAGGTCAGAGCATACAGCCCACACACAGTTGTTAAGTTCCCAAAGCTCCTGCTGCATCTCTGTTGTGGCTCAAGGTACAGGTAGTATTTCTGGAATCCAACCTTGAAGGTTCTTTTCTTTAACTGCCTCTCGCCCGGCCTATAGACAAATGATGGCCAAGCTCCCGTTGTTATCCTGGGTGGATGTCATATGATGACCTCCTTGGATCGGGCCACACTGGACACAGTGAATGACAGATCAGCTTACCGGCAGTTGCCGGTACCATATGATTGCTGTCACCAATCTCAGCAGATCACATGTTAATTGTACACAATGGATGGCTTCCTTTCATACCAATCTGTACCATGTTATCAGCCGTTGCCAATCACAGCTAATCAGAATAGTACACTCTGAATGAATGTATTTCATTTAGAAAAAATGGTTGCTTATAACAGTGATTATCACTGTTATAAGTGATCAAAAAAAGAGAAATCCTGATCACCTCCAAAGAGTAGTACAGTGTTACAGTATATATTTAGAATGCTCCATCTTCCTCTAACTTTGTCATTGGTACTAATATGTACTATGACAGCCAGGTCCTCCACAGCCCCACTGAACAATCTGTCCATCCAATCTGCAAAGTGCCGAACCCCAGTGCTTGGTAAACAACATACTGTTTTGCGATCACATTCTTTGCCCTATCTGTCCTTCTAATTATTGAGTCCCCTACCAACATACTGTATATCTGTCTATCCTTTCCTGTAACTTTGCCCCCATCCTCATTGGAGGAGATGCTTCCCTGGCACCTAGGGGAGATACTCTGCTCCAACTATGCCACTCCTGAACTGATATCCCTAATCTTGCAGAAAGACTTTTTGCTGGTTTACTAACTTAAAGATTTTTATGGTCAGTGGAGACAGATATTGGGTGCTAGACACCCTCCCGAAGAAATTTTATGCTAAAAGTTTTTAGTTTCCAATATAGTTCTGCTTTGCTGGTGTCATTTGTCATTAGTAGTATGCACAAGGATGTAACAATATTTTCTTACCAGTTCTCTAAAAGAGAACTGCTCCAGTGGCTGCACTTGATACACCCACTTCTGCTATAAAGAGATCTGGTTTAGGATGAATCAGCACAGGCACAGTGGTAAATAAAATTTTCAAGTGTGTTAAGGCTGTTTCTGCCTCAGTGGACCTTTGAAAATATGATAGGGGCCACATTTTTTTTTAAATGCAATGAATCTCTGATAAAATGTGAAAATCCATAGAACTCTTTTCAAATCCTTTGTATTCTTCACTTAGGTCAATCTAAGATAGCCTGAATTTTAGTTGAATCCAAGGCTAACCTTTTGGATTAGATGATATAACCCAAAAACTGTATATGAGTCTTTTTAGTTTTGCACTTCTCCAATTTAATATACAGTTGATGTTGCCTTAATCACTCTAGAATCATGCAAACATGATCCTGGTGCTCCTGTACATTTTTTTGCAAAGAGGAGTATGTCATTAAGATAAACCAGGGCCGTCTTTAACGCAGGGCAAAAGGGGCAGCTGCCCAGGGCCCAGTCATTGTTGTGGGGCCCAAAGCAGCTGCCCCCTGAGCCCAGCTGCTGTGTCTGTCTGTCTGTGTTTGTGTGTCTGTGTGTGTGTATGTGTCTGAGTGTGTATGTGTGTGTGTTGTATCTGAGTGAGTGTGTGTATGTGTCTGAGTGTGTCTGTGTCTGCCTGTGTGTGTCTCTGAGTGTGTGTGTTTTTGAGTGTGTGTGTATCTGTATCTTGTGTATGTGTGTGTGTGTGTGTGTGTACGTGTGCTTCTGAGTGTATGTGCTTGTATGCGTGTGTATGTGTTGTGTTGTTTGTGTTTTTGTCTCTGAGTGTGTGTGTATCTGTGTGTGTGTATGTGTGTTTCTGAGTGTATGCTTGCGCGTATGTGTCTGTGTGTGTATCTGTGTGTGTGTGTTTTGCGTGTGTCTATATGTGTGTATGCATGTGTGTGTCTCTGTCTGTGTGTGGGTCTCTGTGTGTGTGTATGTGTCCCTGTCTGTGTGTGTGTTTTTCGGTGGGTGAGCTCTGAAATTAAATTGTGTAACCATACATGATTGTAATACCAATAAATACCCAAACATGTGTTGATCATAATGAATAAATGAATTAGAAAAATATATATCAAAATTGGTGATAATAATAAAAAAAAAAAAAAGTCTATGCAAAATTATTCAAATTTGTGTCCTTCGATGATTAAATAAATATTCAATTAAGAAATAAATATCAAAAATAAAATCGAAAAATATGGAAAATAAATAAAAGGTAAAAATTCAATGAATTTTGTGCAAAAACGCAAAACAAATTTGGTGCAGAGTTCAGCATGGATGAAATATCTGTGTGCTCTCCTTCTAATCAGCCTGAGGTGATGCAGGTGAAGGTTGCAGATAGAGGGCTATTATGTAAGCCGGAATGGTCATATGGATCTCTCCCTCCTCAGATCTTTCCTTGATCCAGCCCTTAAAGCATTCCTCATACGGATCATTTAAATAGAGAAAAGTGCATAGTGCTTTATCGTTGATAAATATAAACTCTTTAATATGCGCTCAATATGCACTCACATTGATTATTATTATACAGTATTTATAAATACGCTCAGCGTATTCGCTCAGCGCTGTACATTACAAAGGGGGACAGAACATGTGACAGAACAATAACAATACAATGCAAAACATGAGGGGATTGAGGGCCCTGCTCTTTTGAGCTTACAATCTAGGAGGGAGGGGATGGTGGCACAGGAGATAGCTGTGGGGGATGGAGTGGTAGGAAAGAGTGGAGCAAGTTAGCAGGGGGTGGGGTAGGCTTCCCTGAAGAGATGGGTTTTCAGGGTGCACCTAAAGGAGAGGAGAGTAGGTGATAATCTGATGGGTTGGGGCAGGGAGTTCCAGAGGATGGGTGACACCCTGGAGAAGTCCTGGAGGCAGGCATGGGAGGAGGAGACCAGGGAACTAGAGAGAAGGAGGTCTTGTGAGGAGTGGAGTGTGCGTGCTGGGTGGTACTTGGATATTAGGTCAGTGATGTAGTTCAGGGCAGTGTGATGGACAGCTTTATACGTCACTGTTAGGATTTTGAATTTGATCCGTTGCGCCAGTGGAGGGATTGGCAGAGGGGGGGTGGCGGAGATGGAGCAGTTGGAAAGGTGAATGAGTCTGGCTGCCGTATTCAGGATCGACTGAAGCGGGGATACCCAGCGGCGAGGCAGGCCAGTAAGGAGGGAGTTGCAGTAATCAAGTCGTGATATGATGAGGGAGTGGATGAGCTGTTTAGTGATTTCTGGGGTTAGGAACGTGTGGATTTTGGCGATGTTGCGGAGGTGGAGTCTGCATGAGCTTGTTAAAGATTGGACTTGGGGCTGGAAGGATAGATTGGAGTCCAGAATGACACCAAGTACTCTGGCCTGCGGGGCGGGTTTGATGGTGGCGTTGTTGGACATGATGGAGAAGTCAATGGGGGGTGGTGTCCAGGCTGGGGGGAAGACAAGAAACTCGGTCTTGGAAAGGTTCAGTTTAAGGAAGTGGAGCGACATCCAGTCAGATATGATTAACCATTTGCCGCCCGCCCTGTGTGGCTGAATGGCGGCCGGCAAATGTCATCCCACACATGCGCACTTTTCGCGCTTGCAGAGCCGTGCAGCGGCGCGATCTGTCACCGGCCGTGTACCTCGGACACAGCCGATGACAGATCTGAGTGTCGGCCCCGTTGCCGGTACCATGTGACCTGCTGTGACCAATCATTGCCATCCATTGTATACTAGTGTCTAGCTGTGAATGGTCACAGCTAATCACATGCACATGTCATGTGATTAGCTGTGGCCAAATCACAGCTAAGCACAAAAAAAAAAAAAACCCTGAATGAATCGATGTCATTCAGGTAAATGCTTGCTTATTGTGTAAAAAAAAAAAAAATACTGATCACTTCCCCAAAGTAGTACAATGTTACTATGGTAACATTGTACTACTTTGGACATAGTGAAATATGAAAACAAAATCTTAAAAAAAGAAAAAAAATGTAATAAAAAATGAAAAATATTAAAAAATTTTTTTTTAAAAAAATATATATTTTTTTTCATACTGTCACCAGTCAGTGTCCCTGATCACCGCCATGCCAGTTATATGAAGACGCTGTACTGCACTGGTGACAGTATGTAAAAAAAAAAGTGAAAATCATTTTTTGCATTTTTTCATTTTCAGAAAAATTATGACAAAAAATACAACTTCAAAAAACTCGCCACGCCTCTTATGAAGTACGTCGGACTGTCTACTCTGTCTACTCTGGGTCATTTGGGGGATATCTGTACTGTTCTGACATTCTTGGACCTCAAGAAATTAGATTGGCCGTCAGTACTTCAGGATTGATCAATATTCAGATCTATACCATAGTTTGTGAACTCTATAGCTTTGCTACAAACTAAAAAATACATCCTAATTTGGGTTATTTTCACCAAAGACATGTAGTAGAATACATCTTGGCCTAAATTTATGAAGAACAATTATTTATTTGCAAACTTTTATAACAGAAACAAAGAAAAACATGTTTTTTTTCAAAATTTTTGGTCTTTTTTTGTTAATTTAGCAAAAAATAAAAACCGGTGATTAAATACCACCAAAAAAAAAGCTCTAGTTGTGTGAAGAAAATGATAAAATTTTAGTTTGGGTACAATGTTGTATGACCGCGCAATTGTCATTCCAAATGTGAGAGCGCTGAAACCTGAAAACTGGCCTGGGCAGGAAGATGTAAAATTGCCCGGTATTGAATTGGTTAAAAACAATCTGCACTTTGTATAATAGCCGCTTAAAGCGGTGAAGACGCACACACTACCAGTGCTCGCTGTGTAAGGATGCGTGGTGATGTCACTGCCCCTCCCCAATGCGTATCTCCACAGGGATTCGTGGCTTCGTCCGGGGGGATGTAGTATGACAATCACACTACCCAACTCCTTATATAGTGTTACGGCGCCATTTTCTTGTAGTCCTAACTGGTTCCTCCATCTTTTTGGGGTCATAACTGTGTTTAACTCTCCTGAGAGCTATTAATGACATTATAACTCTTTTGTAGATTGTAAATAATCCATGAATGATGTTAGCATATACCATTCATTGCTATATAAAATTATACATATGCAGAAAATTATACATAATTTTGCACAGACTTTTTTTTAACATAACAGATTATCAGGAACAAAGTAACATCTTGGTAAAGAGATTCATTGATAAAGGGTATGAGAGAAACAATACAAGTAGAAAGAGAGAATGTTAAGGTACTAGATAGAAAGAATCTTCTAACAGATACAGAATTTAAGAACAATACCATTAATAATGATATAGCTATGATAATGCCATATAGTAAGCAACATAAAGATATAGAAAATATTATTATTAAACATTGGGATGTATTAAAACTTGATAAGGATCTGAAGGACTTAGTTTTAAATAAACCGAATTTTATATACAAATTTATATACAAAAAAGCCCCTAATATCCGTGATAAAGTGGTTAAGAATATAACTACTCCACCTGGTACAAGTAGGAATTTTACTTTCTTTCAGGGAATAGGATTTTACAAATGTGGTAGATGCTTGTGTTAGAGTGAAAAGGAATCCCAAACATAGATCGGAATTTATTAATCCCATTAACAGTAAAAAGTATACAATTAAACAATTCCTATCATGTGACACAAAGGGAGTGGTGTATGCTTTAAAATGTCCATGTAATAAGATCTATATTGGGAGAACTAAAAGGCCATTAAAAGAACGTATTAAAGAACACGTTTATAGTATTACTAAAGGATATAAATATCATAACGTACCGTTACATTTTCGGAATTACCACAGACAACATGTTGAAGGCCTGGAATTCTGGGGCATTGAAAATCATGACACACATTGGAGAGGAGATAATTTAGTTAGAGAAATAAGCAAAAAAGAATCCCATTGGATCTATGAGATAAATTGTTTGGACCCTAGAGGCCTAAACAAAGAATTCGATCTCTCTTGTTTCCTGAGTGATTATTAATAAATACTGTATATAGGATCATTTCTGAAGAAGATTGTTCGTTTATCACATGCATATATGATTCCATATTATGTGTACATTGATTAGCTAATTGCAATTATATTTAGTTTAAAATAAATAGTGAGAATATAAGGATTAGGATACATGATGCACAATTTTATTAGGGACATTTATAATAACGCAGGGCTAATAATATGTATCATATTTGATTTGTAAGGTCCAATACATCTACATAATCCACAAGATAATAGCTCAACATGTAAATTTTGATTTAAACCATCTATTTTTTCTGACACGCGTTGTTGATAGACGCATGTTAGTTAAAACTGCATTTTAGATTTAACACATACACATAATAGATTTGAAACAGGGGAAGATGATGATATGAAGGCAGCAATTAGCTTATGAGGTCATTGTCATTCATATTATCAATAGCTTCATACACATATAGTCGTTTTTGGGTATTTTTACAATCCATTTTTATTTGTTATTTTTATTTTATGTTTTATGATACATGTTGTTTTATGTTGCTTTGTTAGGTTTAATACATCTACAATATCCATAAGATAATAGTCAAGTGTGTATATTTGGGGAAAACAATTTCTATTTTTTTCTGACATGCGTTGTTGATAGACGCATGTTAGTTAAGATTGCATTTAAGATTTAACACACACACATAATAGATTTGTAACAGGGGTAGTTTATGATATGTAGGTAGCAATTAGTTAATGGGGTTACTCTTATCAATAGCTTTATATAATTTTGGGTATTTTTATAATATATTTTCATTAATTTTTATTCTTATTTTATGTTACAATAAATTTTCTGCACATGTATAATTTTATATAGCAATGAATGGTATATGCTAACATCATTCATGAATTATTTACAATGGATTTGTAATTTTAATTATGTTTATTTGTATTTTCATATGTATTTTATAATGTTGATATAGACCATCTCGAGAGTGCATGCTACATGCACTAGTAGGCTAGCCATAGGATACTGGGACATACACTGTATTTGATATATAACACACTCTGATAAATTAGATGTAATTGCTACAAAAGAGTTATAATGTCATTAATAGCTCTCAGGAGAGTTAAACACAGTTATGACCCCAAAAAGATGGAGGAACCAGTTAGAACTACAAGAAAATGGCGCCGTAACACTATATAAGGAGTTGGGTAGTGTGATTGTCATACTACACCCCCCGGACGAAGCCATGAATACCTGTGGAAATACGCATTGGGGAGGGGCAGTGACATTACCACGTATCCTTACACGGTGAGCACTGGTAGTGTATGCAAGCACACCCGAGAGGCTGGTCTTCACCGCTTTAAGTGGCTATTATACAAAGTGCAGATTGTTTTTAATCAATGTGAGTGCATATTGATATTAATGTTTATTTTTATCAACAATAAAGCACTATGCACTTTTCTCTATTTACATGATCCCTATGAGGAATGCTTTAAGGGCTGGATCAAGGAAAGATCTGAGGAGGGAGAGATCCATATGACCATTTCAGCTTACATAATAGCCCTCTATCTGCAACCTTCACCTGCATCACCTCAGGCTGATTGGAAGGAGCGCACACAGCTATTTCATCCATGCTGAACTCTGCACCAAGTTTGTTTTGCGTTTTTGCATAAAATTCATTGAATTTTTACCTTTTTATTTATTTTCCATATTTTTTTATTTTTGATATTTATTTCTTAATTGAATATTTATTTAATCATCGAAGGACACAAATTTGAATAATTTTGCACAGATCCTTTTTTTTTTTTTTTTTTTTTTATTATCACCAATTTTGATATATATTTTTCTAATTCATTTATTCATTATGATCAACACATGTTTGGGTATTTATTGGTATTACAATCATGTATGGTTACACATAAAAGATCATGCAGCTATTAGAGATTTAATGCAAATACAGTTTGTATACTATATACAGGTAATAGGTCTTGATAGAGCGCGGCATCTATATTTTCTTCATTTGTATGCACTGATAACTCCCATTTATGAGGGTGAGCAAGATAGAAGCTGTTTATTATACACCTTATTGGCTCACAAGTACATTTTTAATATTCAGTGTTCTCTGCTATGTTCATTGCTAATAACAAGTTTTACAATTTTCTGTCTATTGGTGGGTCTTTTCCCCTCCGCAGTATGTGGTGTTCAGGAAGGGAGGAGATTATGTGCTGTAACCTTTAGCAACCAATAAGTGAGCTGTAATGTGTATCTGTAACTACTAGCAACCAATTAGTGAGCAGTAATAATGTGCAGTAAGCTCTAGCAACTGATCAGTGAGCCGTAATGCATGCTGTAACCTCTAGGAATCAATGAGTAGTACTTGCAATGCTAGCGCCAGGAACCTGGTGATGATGGCGCTGGACTCCTGGACAGGTAAATGTAACGTAATGTAAATATTTAAAGTTATCAGCTACAGTATTTGTAGCTGTTGACTTTTATTTTTTTTTAGCGGAGCCTGGAACTCTTCTTTAACCATGGGCTGCAGGTTGTGACTGCCTGCAGCTTTATAGCCAGATGCATATGCAAGCTGTGCAGCATCCTGTGGCTTCACAATCTCCTGAGACCTGTGACATGTTCCAAGGGGCTGTGCGACAAGGTTTGGGGACAAACCTCTGCTCTGATAGCCTAGGCAAACAGAGTGGGAGTGGGTACCTGTCAAAATCAGGTATCTCCCCCCTCCCTCCAAAAAGGAGACATTCCAAATATGGGAGAGGAGGGGTGAGGAGGAGGAAAAAGTGGAACGTCCCCATTTGTGTGAAGTTCCACTTTAAATGAGATTTTTAACAAGCTCTTACTGGCCTCTGTAGCCTTGGGCACTGTGAAACAATTCATCCCCAATGCATAATTTTTAAACAAAAGCACTTTGCTTGGGTTGTAGTTGGATTCATAGCAACTTTACCACACTTTGTTCTCTCTCCCAGTAATGACTTTGCAGCCTTCACACCTTCTAAGTGAAACACAGAGCACCTGTTCTTATTTGTGTTCTGGACATTAATACTGAAAATGTAATAGGCAACTCCTATTCTCATATTGATTAGTGGTTCCAAATTAATAACTACCGAAGTAGGGAACAGACTCAAAAAGATACATTCAGAGCTTTCAAAATCAATGCTCTTTTTATTCAGCGCATTCAAAGTTTTTTCATACACCTGGGTACGTAGGTATCACATTTAATATTACAATTGTACTTTTATGGTAAAAAGGGGCATTACATAGGCAGGTTAATTTCTAATCAAGACTGGAAGGAATGCAAACCTAATCTAAACATCATTAGTGCTGTGTGCACAATGAGTGCAGTGTACAATACATAGGCAAAGCATACAAAATACAATACAATTTTATACCGAATTTACAAATGTCCTTTATAATCTCCCCTCTTTTGATCAATATTTTACATTTTGATCTCA